AGGTCCCTTCCAACCCTTGTTATTCTGTAATTCTGTAAGGGTCTCCTACTTGAACAGGGGGCTGGACTAGAAGACCTCCAAGGTCCCTTCCCGCTCAAGTCTGAATTGAGTAGTCTAATGAAGAAGGACTGGGGGGGGGGGGCATGATAGCATTATACTAGTATTCTAGTATTTGAGGGGCTGCCACAAAGAAGAGGGGGGTCAAATTATTCTCCAGAGCACCAGAAGACAGGAGAAGCAGCAACGGATGGAAACTAATCAGAAGCAACCTGGAACTAAGGAAGGAATTTCCTGATTGTGAGAACAATTAACCAGTGGAACTGCTTGCCACACGGGAAATTGGGGGGGCTCCATCACTGGGGGGGGGGGGGGTTTAAGAAGAGACTGGACAGCCATTTATCTGGGATGGGATAGGCCAGGGTTTCCTGCCTGAGCAGGCGGGGTGGGCGGGTTGGACTAGAAGACCTCCGAGGTCCCTTCCAACTCTTGTTATTCTATTGTGTCTCCTCCGCTGCAGGTTACAGCAACGACAGAAAGAAACAGCTGAAGCAACTTTTCAAGTCGTTCCAGGCGCAGCACAAGAATTAATGCTCAGCCAGAAGATGGCTAAGATTTAAAATAATAATAATAATAATAATAATAACGACCAGAAGCCAGACAGGGATGGGAGGAAGTCCCTGCTTTACGGAGCTAAACCAAAGGAACCGTTCCCAGGATTTCTGCCTTTACCTGGAGGTCAGCTGGATGCCCCTTTATTTGGGAAGGGGGCGGGGGTCACATCCTTCAACCGTGAAGGGAGTTCGACCGGCTCTGAAGATGGATGCCCAAGCAGGAAGTTATGGCCGGGGTAGAGATGCCTTCCAGAGACAAGACGGGCTGCGAAACGTTGGGAAAAAGGCTGTGAAAGGCTGTATTTGCTCAGCCCAGTGGCACAACTTCCACCCCGTGGCGCTGAAGCTGGGCAGGAGGAGGAAATCTTAGCGGTTGGGGGGGGGGAAGCTTCTGCCATCCCGATTCCAATTCAAATCTTTTGGAGTGAGCGGGAATCATAAAAGAACGCCTTTGCACTAGAGAGCATTTGAAAAGCTTCTTTCGACCTTCGGGGCAAATAGGATTATCTGGAAATGGTGGGTGGGGTCCTTGGTGAGCTGGATTGCTTTCTTGCAGACGTTTCCTTACCACGCTAGGTAACATCATCGGGGGGAGAAAGGAGTGGAGTTTGTGGAGTAGAAGGAGGGGGAGGGAAGAAGGGGGAGAAGAGGAGGAGGAGGAGGAGGAGGAGGAGGAGGAGGAGGAGGAGGAGGAAGAAGAAGAAGAAGAAGAAGAAGAAGAAGAAGAAGAAGAAGAAGAGGAAGAAGAGGAAGAAGAGGAAGAAGACTGTGTTGGTTCTTGGTGCTCTCTGAGCTTGATTTTCTTGCAGACGTCTCATGACCCAACTAGGAAATATCATCAGTGCTAGAAGGGGAGGAGGGGAAGGATGACGAAGAAGGAGAAGGAGGAGAAGGAAGAGAAGAAGAAGGAGAAGAAGGAGAAGGAAGAGGAGGAGAAGGAAGAGGAGGAGAAGGAGGAGGAGGAACAGGAGGAGGAGGAGGAAGAGAAGAAGAAGAAGGAGAAGGAAGAAGAGAAGGAGGAAGAGGAGGAGGAGGAGGAGGAGGAGGAGGAGAAGGAGATGATGACTGCTATGTGGTACTTGGTGCTCTCTGAGCTTGGTTGATTTCTTGCAGACATTTCATGACCCAAGTAGGTGACATCATCAGTGCTAGGAGGGAATGGGCTTTGTTCTCTGATTAGATGCAGTGACTAGGTTAAAGGACAGCCTAACCAAGGAACTACCTAGAAGAAAACCACAATCCCACTAACATTGGCAGGGCAAGGTAGGACCTATAAACAGAGGGCAAAGCCATGAATGAAACGGGGGGATAAAACTCTTTTCTAGAGTTTTAATAGAGACAATTGTTGTGGGTAGACAGAGACAACCAAAGCAAAGCAGGAATCATTTCCCACCCTTCTCCCAACGGACGTTGGAATCTTATTCAATGTATTGTCACACAGACCCTGCGCCGAAAAAACTGGTAGAAAAGTGTGAAGATCTACAACCTCATTTTTCAAATGTTCGCATTCAATATCAAATCTCAAAAGTGCAAAATGCTGACCTCAAGGAATTCTCTCCTCAAAATGTCACATTTTCAAATCCTCAAAAGGTCAACGAGGTCTTCTCTGGTCAGATCTGGAGGCATCTCACTAGCTTTAAGAGAAGGGCGTAAAGACGCCCATGAAATGCTCAAGTGCTTGGCAAATGCTCAGGAGCGTAGAAGCATGGAGCGAGGAGCATGCAAAGCAACTCTCTTTTGCACGTTGCCCACGCCAACAGCTGCCGCGTTGAATCCACACCAGGAGCTGGCCTCAGCCGTCCACCACTTTCCTCATGAACCACGTTTCTTCAGCCGTCAAGGGTTTCAAATCGTAGCCTTTCAGTTCTGGTTTACCTGCAGGAAGATTAAGGAGACATCATGAAACCATTAGCAGCCGGTTTGGTTCAGGGGCTAAGGCACCAGGCTAAAAACCAGGAGGCGGTGAGTTGGAGTCCCATCATTGGCGTGAAAGATGGCGGGGTGACTTTGGGCCAATCCCCAGGAGACGGGGAGTTCTAGTCCCGCCTTAGGCATGAAAACCGGCTGGGTGACTGGGC